CATTTTTTTCAGCTCAGTTTTTCTACCTCTCCTGCAGCTATTCTCATCCCACATCTTTACACTCACTAGGAGGTACCAGGGATATTGGCTTGTCCTATTGATGATGCTGGAACCTGAATGAGTTTAGTGGTACAGTGCTCATAACCCCATCATTCCAGGATGTAGGAATCTCATTGGCTCTTCATGAATTCTAGCCCTTCAGAGCACAACTGCAGCTGGTTGGGAATTCTCCACTGAAAAGATTTTTAAACAAAAAATGTGACTTCCACAAAACTGGAGTTTTCCACATGGAAATGTTGATTACACTGCGTTTTAAAAAAAATGTTTTCTAATCCCAACAATCTAAGCCAATCATTTAGTTTTGGGTCAGTCAGCCTGAATCAAAACATTCCAGTTTGTTGAACAAAATCAAGACATTTCATTTTCTGTCAGTTTACCATTAATCTGTATCTGCCTGAGCTGCTATGGTGACTCATGGGGGTTGTAATTTGGGTACCTCGTTCCCTTATTCTCTCCTGTGAGTCAGGCTCCTTAGCCAGACTACACCTCCCATGCTGTCCTACAGCCTCCTCTCTGGCTGAGCTGCTACAATGCATCATGGGAGCCCTAATTAGCCATAAAATGGGGGTTAAATATAGGAATAATCAAGTTACTTCACATTAAAGGGACACTTTCAGTGATGGAAGGCACATATGTCACACAAAAGTGTTAGGTAAAAAGTGTGGGCAGGCAGGTTAAGCTGGACTTGATTATTTCTTTTTCGTATTTACGGGCTGTGCATCAACTTTACAATAACCCAAGATGTTCCTATACTTACCTTTACTTGGGCAGGAATTAGAGAGGCAACATACACTGTTTTGCTATTAGAGGGTTGCAAGCATGTGGTCTGTTCTTTATCAGACAGTGATTTTGAATAAAAATATCCTGAATTTATCAGCTTTGTTTTCCCACCTGTAAGTGTCCCTTTAGTATTCAGATTCACCTTTACAGCAGTGTTTGAGGGCTTCTCACATGATTTAATGTTCCTTAAAAATAAGGATAGGAACATGCTGCCTGCCAGATACTCAAAGGTCAGACAGGAAAAGAATATGAAATCATCTAATGTTCTGGTGCTCATGTCTGTTTCAGAATGAGGTGGGAGAAAGCAAAGCAGATGTCAAGTGGGGAAAAAAAAAAGGTCAACTGGTGTTTAAAATATTCTTACATTCATTCCAGCTATTTATAGGAGTGAATTAGTAAGAGAAATGAAGAATGAGGCTGGATTGAGACTGAAGCTTTTGTACAGTCTACATAGCTCTCCACTTATTCATCCTTCCTGTGCCTTCAGCGTGCCATGAACACGGTCTTTGAGCAAGCATCTGTTTATAGTACCACTGAGCAGTGTCTTGCTTGGTTTTTTAACTCTCCACAGACTCGATCCAATACACCTGACCAATATAATCTCTCTGGTCACCTGGCACTGCTGTTTCCACTCATCTAGCCTCACACACCTTCTCTTTCTACTTAACACAATCTTACCACTGCAGGGATGGTGGGCTGGGGGCTTCCTCAGTGTCTTCAGCCATCTGAAAGAGCCATTGTGTATCTCTGCATGTCACTGACTCACCATCCTTTCAAAATCTCATCTTAAAAGATGTCTTTCCTCCCATGCCTCTGCCTCTTATTTTCTCTCCTCTGTGCAACAATTATTTCACTCTGACAAAATCACTTAAAATCTGTAGAACATTTCTGATAATTTGTATGAAAGTACCACCTTAGCTTGGCCATTGGTTCCTCCCAGCCTTCCTGATGCTGGGAAAGGACCGGGTTATTTCAAGAGCAGGTCGAAGGTTCAGAGAGGTCACCTCTGCAAAATTAGCTGTTGTTCCACTTTCAAACACACAGCATAACATTGGCTCCATATTTAGGACCAGCTTCAAACAGAAAGATTGCGCAGCTTCCCAGATTTAAGTGAGCTGCAAAAATTAAACAATTGTTTAAAAAAACAAAAAAACAAAAAACGAACAACAGATCAAGTAGAGGACTTCTGACCACTAGCACTTTTCTCGGTCAGAGGAAGAAATATGGATGGGGTTGGAATAGAGGAGCAGGTTGTGATTGCTGGGGGGTGGGGGGGGGCAGAATACATTTAATTGTCTTGGAGACACTCTGTGTGTGTATGTGTGTGTGTGTATGTGTGTGTGAGTCAGGTGGACACAGTGTAACTCTTCAGAGTATATAGATGAGCACTAGAAAAATGGGTTACGTGATGGGGTAAGTGATAGGGATGTCTGAGGCGGTGGAAAAGGAAGAGTGGTGAGGTTCGTGGGGAGGGTCATGAACACAGAAAGACTAAGAGGAGCGAGACTGAAATAACAGATACAGAAAAAGCAAAAAGGGTGGAAAAAGAATGAAAGAGAAAACATACACTGTAGGAATACAAAATCTGGGGGAAAACCAGAAAAGGAAGGAAGGAATTATAAAATAAAAATCTATGATGTGAAAATCAATGAAGGAAAGGAAAAGGCAGAGAAGGAAGCACGCGTGTACACACACAAACATCCCCCTCCCCCAATCTAATATTGGACCAGACCTTTGGCCCTGCTCTGTTCCTTCTGGAAAACTGGGTTAAATGGCCTTTTGAGAACTTCCCTTGCATAGGGGCTTTATGGCACTTGCCGTGGGTCATTCCCTATTATACAGGATATTCCAGAGTCAGGAGAACAGCACTGGATTTGCTTGTGCTCTGGAAACCTTTGGCTGCTAGGGAACTGTTGCAGGCAGTGCAAGTTACAGCAGCACTAAGTTGCTACAATTTGCACTGTGGGGGCTATATTAGCCTGTGGCTGCCTCTATGATGAGAGCAACCAAAGACAGAATAAAGGCACTTCCACTTCTTTCCCATTCCTTGGAGCCTGTTTAGAAAGGTCTTTTCTACTGGTAATTAGGGAGATCTATAGTAAATAAGTCGTTTATAGCACAGGCCTCTCAATTTTGTTGCAAGGTTTTTAAATACATTTGAGATACTAAGGTATCCATGATGATCAACACATTTCTTCCAGTTGTAACCCATGATTGCATATTCCTTCCACATTACCGGCTCAGCCTCAAACTTTTTTCCCTCTCTGTGTGCACAAGTACTGAACATCTTGCTTTAACAATTTTCCTGTTATATGATACATATTACCATACCATTGCAAGCAATCGCCCCCCACGCCCCGTATCAAGTGGACCTTCCCTCCTCCCATTTTACGAGCAGTCTGTCTGAGATCATAGTGTGTTTCACTAGACAAACTAAACCTTCATGCCTTTGGTATAATTTTGGTGTTGATTCATCGATCAGTACAAGCTTGCACATTTATGAACTATTAAGTATCTTCTACACACTCCCACAGAAAGCTGTGTAAGGACATAAAATTACTTCTACCTAGGTCACTCATATTCAGTTCAGTCACTGCACAAGATTTACATTTTACTGCAAAGCAAGAGGGAGAAATGAAGCCAGGGTTAAAGGAGAGCATAAATTGTTAGCTTTCTCCATTTTACATTCTCATCTCTTACCATTCCTTGCAGATCAGGAAATGTATTTTATCTTGCTTTAATCACCTTTCTAGATGCAGTTTGTAAACAAGTTTTAGAGAAGAGTGAAAATAAAAGACAAAATAAACAAACATAAGGTCATGCCTTGTGTATAGAATTAGTATAAAGTAAACATGAAGGACTGATTGAAGCTACTCATTAAAATGATGCCTCTGGAGGGGGTTATGACTAGCTGTGAAAGAACCTTAGGATGAGCTTAAGGTTTGAAACCTTTTCACAAACACACACATTTTAGATCTCTGCTAAAAGGTAGACATCTCCTTGACATATGCACTTGAAGAGATAAGGCAAGGTTAGGGAAAGTACCATCTCTGAGGTCGATAATCACAACATGAGCCATAAACATTATGAGTACTATTCAATTTAGACTTAAAAAAATCTCAAAGCCTATTCTGCAGCTAAGGTAATGGGATTCATCTGACTTTTTTTGTATTGTTCGGTGGAACTCCACAGAAACATTTTGCAAGCTCTCCCTTGCAATATTATGTTTATAGGAAAATGTCAGCACATTGTTTTTAAAAAATCACAATGTTTCTGTATGGTAGGATCAAAGGCAGAAAAACAAAAAGAGGAAAAATAGTAGGGGACTAATTCACCTCTCAATCAGGTACATAAGTGCACTTTTTAGTTAAATAGTTGGGAGTTGCATTGGTCAAAAATAAAATGGGGGAGAGGAGGAGTTGGGACCTACCAGTATTCCTTTGTTTTAACCAGACTGTTTGATCCTGGTAGCTACAAGATCAGATTCTTCTCACTTTTCTGCTCTTCCTTCTTGAGGATGAGTTATTTGTGATCCTAAGTGAGTATGCGTAGATGGAAGGACCTGGTTCAGACGTGGGAAGGAGCTGCATGTGCTATTGCATACTGCTCTGCAAAACCTTGGGTTAGCACCGGCGCTGCATCCTTTCTGATCAGACGTTTCATGCCAATTGTTAATGCTACTGAACTTTTTAACAAAGAGAACTAGGCCCATCTTTTGACTCCCAAGGAGTAAATTGCTGTTTTACAGTGTGAATAAACACAGCTGTACTTTTACTTAGATTTTTTTTTTCACATTAATGTAAGTATTTTCTAAATGCTTTAAAAAGACAGGTCACTTTCAACGTTAATGGGAAAGAAGCTCTGCCATTACAAGTACTTTATTTCTCCAGTTAAAACACACCACGAAGTAGTCAGAACTTGAAGTGTGGAATGTAACTAATCCGCAGTGTACTGCGCTACAGAGAAAAGTAATGCCACAGTTACATTGCCAGCTGAAGTGGCCAGTTACCAGAGCAGCACTCTTCTTTTTCTTTTCTTTTTTTTTTTATCATGCATGAAATAAATCTGAATGTTCTGCTCAGACTAGCCTGTGAATTTGTTCACTATCTTCCTACCAAAGTGGAAGAGCCTGTCAGAGAAAGTACGCTGGCAAACAGGCAACCATTTGAACATGTTATATTTTTAATTTGCAGAGACAAAAATGACAAGCAATTTATTTACATAAAACTGTACAAAAGCAAATTAAATTATGTAAAATATTTCATAAATAGAGGTGGACTAGCGTTTAATACATTTTGCCATGTTTAGCATAGGTGCGTGCATAGTGACTCATAATAAACAATGATCAATTGTTCTCTGCTTCACTATTAACAACCAAGTTGCAGAACAATAGTCAATGATTAATATTACAAACAGATCGTACCACACTGAATGCAAGTGCTTTAAAATTTAGGAAAAAGTTGTTTGAAAGTGTACCCCAGGTAGCTGGAAAATGATGCCTTCTTCCATGTGTTATGCTTTTCGGGCAGCAACTCAGTTTAGTTGCTGGACTACACTCATTTCTACTGTTGTCCTCTACTGTTGTCTTTCATTTCTTAAGGAAACACTGTATATTTATAACTGATAATAACATAAACTGCTTTATTGTTCAAGTTCTTTAAAAGCCTTTTAGCAACAGCAATATTTATGGCAGATTCATTTGGCCTTGCTCTACATTTCCTACTTGACAATTTCCTAGGGTAGCCTTTCAGCCAAGCATCTTCGATCCCATTTTAGTTCTTCCTCACATAAAAATAATGTCTACCTTGGTTTTTTTCTGAAACTCAGGCAGCAGGCCAGTCAGAAACCATATTGAATAATATAGTAGATCTGGACGTTCAGAAGGAACATTAGATTTTAGACTGAAGCTACAGACTTCTCTAATACATATAAAGTTATATAGTTATGCATCAATCTATAAATGTGTCCTAATGTAAAATACATGCAAAGTTCATTTGAGTTTCCCATGGAAGGAAAAAAAGGACATTTTTTTATACTGTACAACCAAATGGAATGACAGCTAAAAGCAATTAAGAGACACTAAATCATCAATTTTCCTGGCAAAATGAACTTATGACACCTTGCTAAATAACTATATGGTATTTATCTATTGTAATCTATACTGTAGCCTTCCAGGCAGTAGATTGGAAGGAAAACAAAAAAGCAGTGCATAGCTAAGCTACAATCTGGTTTTCATAATCAAAGATACTTAAGACTGGTCCAATATCTGAGTTTGGCAGAAGGCATTTTTTTAAATATATTATTTATAATTTATCAGAAAATAAACAGGGATCAATATACAGGTTCAAAAAAGTTGGGAATAGCCCATTACCCCTCAGTGCCCAAACCCAATCACCTTTCTACTATAACAACAGGTATAAAAGGCACAGTTGCATATTTTGCATTCGATCTAATTTTTTTTTTTACTTCATTTTGTTTTATGTGTTTATTTTTACAAAAGCACTCTCTATATGGAGTGGCACCAGATTAACCTATTTCAGATGAAAAAAACTACAAACACAAAATGTATTTCTGTGTCATGCCAGGTCATAATAGTAATTGACATGTTATGATGGGTAGTTCTACTAGAATTACTGTGAATATTTAAAGTACATTGATTTTTTTTTAATTATTCTTTCCACACCCATTTTAGTTCTAAGGAGTTGCTCACAAGTAAATGACTATGGCATGACTGCCTTATATGGTGCAAAAACAGGTGAGTGACTGTTGATCCATTTAATCTGAAGGTCTTGTATGACCTGTATTATTAGCTTTTTAGAAAAAGGGTTTAAAGATATATGGAAACAAGTCATCTAGTGGTTTTCAACTGCAGTATTAAATAAAAAGTTCCTATTAAAGAAAAAAAAAATGTTGAACATCTGTTATGCAATTTTGTATTCTGTTGAAGCGTGCAATAAAACTGTGTATACATTACATAAGCATCTTTAGAATCTTTTATTTTTTCCTTAACAGGGTACTTACAGATTATACAATGCAGTCACTGCTCTTTACAGTCTCATAATAAAGTACTAATTTTCATCTCTCCATAATTTAAATAATTAAATGTAAAAAAGTTCAATTATTAATCTTTGTTTTAATATGTTTTTCTTCATAACATGTGTCCATTCATCATAACTTCTACACACAAACTAGCCTCAAAATGAAAATTAAATTTAAGAGGGGAATGCAATGGCCAAAAAGGGCACCCCTCTATATAGAGAAGAGAATTTGAAAAGTAAATGTTGTGATGACTTGTACTGATTTACTAACCTATATTTCAGGCTGTTTAATGTTATATTCTCTATTTAATTCTTCAAAAGGAAGAAACTACCCAAAACTACATTGTTACTACAGTCTACTCGACAGCCATCTAACCATGCCTTAATGCCAGGTTAAACAACCAGGGATTTGAATGTTTGCACCCTTCTCAAACTGTCCCCACTGTGTTGACTGATTGTCATTTTCATCTGAATGTCTGAGTTCAGTATTCAATTATTACTACATCATCAGCTACGAAGCAACTAGCTCAAGTTCTGCACATTTTGTTGCTTTTATTGCACAAAAACCTGTTTTGTTTCCTATTCCCTTTAAGTAGTACACACTGTGAGAATTGTCACTGGCCATAGCTCTTTGCTATCATGTTAGTTTGGATTCCTTGTGACTTCTCTCAAGCTACTGTGTAAAGTATTGTATCAATGCTTAAGTCAGTCCGACCGTTTGTCACCCTCCTTAAGTGTGTTGAGTCTTGACATTTTTTTCATATTGCACAGGACTGTTTTAATGCACTTGTGTTTCAAGAAAACCTGCATCATACCTTTGACAAACACAATTGGTAATCTGCAACATTGATGACAAAAGATTTAGCAAGCATACCTTGCACTGTGAAAAGAAAAATTTTTACTTGACTTGCAATATACTCTTGTCACTGCATCACACCACTTTCCCCCCATCCACCCTACCCGAAAAGTGTTCTGGGTGACATCAACACCTCTGATTTTTTTTTTTTTTAAATGTAACCTTTTGGAAAATATTCCCTGGAACTGGCAGTATCATATCATACAGCAGATGCTGTATGTTATGACATTATCAGCAAACATCTTAGCAGTTCTTTTGGGCATTCTACTAAAATCCATTGAAGTAGTAGTAGGTCATCTGGGCTTGTGGACTGTGCTGCTGTGCAAAATGTAATTGAATGTGTATTTATGTGTGCATGCATATGGTTTGTGGGTACACTGGATTTCTAAGCCAAGACCAAATACTTAGCAATTCCCCGATCCATAGTGCACGATCTTTGGCCTTTTTAGTTACTATGATCATCCCAACTAGATATATGTCTTGTCCAAAATAACATGAGTTTAACAGTTTATCATTAGAATGCTACGGTACATATGACATTAATTTTGTTACGCTGAAGTAAGCCGATAGAGAGTTCATTCTATGGAGAAAACAGAACCCAGAGTTCATGATTCATAGGGAAATATACCACCTTTTGGACTGCAGTCTCAGGCTGAGTATAATTCTCTTGCTTCAAGCCTTAGGTGAGAATATTAAAGCTGTGATCTTCACAAAGTGCCTATTAATGGTTATCCCTTTATATTTACCTCTATATTTGTACGGTTTCTGAAGGAACATCCCTGCTGGGGATCAGCAATGTTCAGATGATATGCTTGGAGTATATTTTCCCTGACCTGTTATCCTTAACAAGCCAGATGACAATCAAACAAAATCAGAGTGGCTTAAATCATGCTTCAGCAGAGGGGTAACAACAGTGTGTTGTGTTCTTTTAATCAGGCTTGTTACCATGAAAGCAATTTGCAACCATAAATTTAAGAAAATAAAAATCAGTGAGGGGGATTAGACATGCAAGGACAACAATGGTTTCTACATTGTACAGTATAGTCAGGCAGACTATATAATTAAACGCCTGATATGGAGGCAGAAGTGGCAGGCAAAGCTTTTGTCTCTTTGGTGGCCCCCTCTTTTTTTTTTTTTTTTTTTTTCTTTTTTCCTTTTTTCGTGCTAAACTGTTTTGATTTTAAGATTTTTTGCCCCTTTTCCTTCTTATGCATGAATGAACCTTGTTGTGGCTTCTTTATAACCTACAGGTAAACTTCTCTTCTAGTTAGAGTATTGACAGGAGATGGCTTGTATTCCCCTGTCTGTGTAAGGGGGATATCCTCTGGATTGGCTTCCTCATTTTTGCTGAAGCTAGCTGCGTTGAAGGTCTCATAGGATGAGGTCAACTTTTTGTTCAGGAGGTTTCTGTTGCGATCACCCATGAGGGAGGCTTCTCCATTGGCCAGCTTTTCCTGACTGCCTCGTTCATCAACGGGCATGAAGGTGGAGAGTTTTGGCTGGCTCTTCTGCTTCCTTTCAGGCGAAGTGCGTACTGGCATCCAGCAGGAGTCCGAGTGGCCATATTCATCACACTCTCGAGTACACTTGCCCGTCAGGGCTACATCTGGTAGAGGCCTCGAGTCTGAAAACAGAGGAGAATTTCCTTTTTAAAAATGTACTGAAAATGTCTTCTCTTCCTCAATGTGATTAATGAACTTTTAAAACAAAATATTTTTTAAAGTTTTTGCATTAGCAAAATCTTTAAAGTTAAAAATCACTGAACCTCATGTTAACTTTAATAATACATATGCAACAACAAGGTATGCAATTCTACCAGACATTGGCAGCACAAATGACTGAGAAGTGTGGGCACAAAGGCACTTCTTGACATATGATATTATTTTAGGCATAATTTTTATCAACTTTTGGGACCAGTTAGCTTGTGAATCTTAACTGGATACTCACACGGTCATAATCAGCCAGATGCCTAATTTTGTGCTGCCCACTTTCTTTAACTGATTTAAACAAAAAACCTTTCTTTTGGATTCTTTGTAAAACACATTTCAGTATCTTATTAACAGAATCTAAGGCCCTGATCCTCCAAACATTTATGCATATGCTGTGTGCAAGAAGTCCTGTTGTCATCACCAGAGTTCTGTTGATATAAAGTTAAGCATGTGCATAAATCTTCTCAGGACTGGGGCCTAGGGCCCAGATCCTCAAATACTTTTAGGTGCCTAAATACCTTCGAAGATCAGGGCCCACGCTGTAAGTACATGGACATGAAAAAAGCAAATTAAAACCAGTAATGGATAAGTGCATGCAACCCCCCTTTTTCAGTCTAATATGTACAGTCAAAGGTGTTGTGCGTGTTCATGTAGGAACCTGACTGCTGAAGTGTTGGCTGAAAGGAAAATGTTTTGTGACTACGATGTGCTGTGTGGAATGCTGTAGTTCCTGACCTCTGAAGCAAAAATCTTTCAGCTATTATACACATAGGCCACTCACTGAAATCAACTGGGCTTTTGGTTCAGACAGGGCTCAGTACTGCAGCCTGTTTGAGGCAGGTGTTGTTAAATTATTTTGATATTTACATAATTGCAACTAAAATTAGGAAAAGTATGTTATTTTTTATATTATATATATACACACACACACACACACACACACTCTTCCAAAAATTGGGCCAAATTCTGATACCCCGGTTTACATTGAGCAGTACTCTACTCTGTGAGCAATCCCAGTTACTACTAGTCTAATTCAAGTAAGGTACTACTCAGCATGAGGAAGAGTGGCAAAATCTGGCCTTATGTCAATAGGTAGGTTTTACACAGTTTTTATCTAAATATTATTATACAATTTAATAGAGTAAAATGCAAGTCATTTGAAACTATTTCATTTTCTTAACATTTTTTGCCCTATGATCTTTTTGACTGCTATCAAATCCCACTGGGAAATATTTATTCCTTTGCAGTTTAATGACTCAGAAAGAACCCTACATAAATTAACTTTCAATTCTATCATAACTAACCATTTTTTCCCTCCAGTTGTATGAAAAGATTCGCAGTGGGTAAGATTTTGGTATGGGATTTTCACAGATGCTTAGTGTTGTCTTAAATCTTCATTCATCAATCAATGGAAAAAATCCTACTCAGTCCACAATTTCAATGGAAGCAGAGTTACGCCAACACTCAGTGCTTTTGGAAATCCCACCCTTCATGGTTATCCCACCATGATGCTTACCTGAGGAAGATTTCTTGTGGAATTCCCTATGAGGAATAGTGAAAAGACTGTACCATCTTACAACTAACTATCATAGAGCACTAAGGGCTAGATTTACAGAGAGATTTTGGTACCACATGTATTCACAAAACCTCCACTCAACTGCCCCTGGATCCTGTAAGTGCCTAAACTCACATGGTACCTATGTTTTTGCAGTAAAACTTCCTTAGGTGCCTATTTACCTGCCTATGAACATGCACATTGCTGCCTTATGTTAGGCATCTGGATACCAATCTCCCACCTACACCCCTGTGTTATTCACAAACTGGGGAAAGAGAGGAGTTCCTCCTCTCCTAACTTGCCTGTGGGGCTTGATCTTGTAGGTGGGCTCAGAGGCCACCTAATTTCACCCAAAATAGCTCAGGAGGAGAAACCTCCCATATAACCTTTAGCCCAGTGGTTTGGATATTCACCTGGAATGTGGGAGATCCCTGGTTCACATCCCCCTTATACCTAATAAGAGAGTAGAACAGGAGTCTCCTAACTCAGGTGAGTGTCCTTACCACAGGGCTATGCATTAGCTTGACAGAATTCGATTGTTATTTTTAGACAGATAACACTGGTATTTATTTTACAGCTTTTTTTAGATTTTTATCAATTTAAATGTTCAGCTTCAGGAAATTATGTGGGAGTCAGTCAATAGGAGAGGGTCGGACTATTTAATGAGAGTAGATGTTGATTCAAAAAATTACAGTTTTATTATCACTAACACACAAATTGTCAAAGTAGGTCAAAATATACAAAGTAAATATCCTTAAATCAAACTCTAATAAATTCTCCAGCAGCATTTTTTTTAATTTTGCCCAGCTGCAAATTTCAATTATTGATAGAAATATTGTTGTTGGTTTGTACTTGTAATGGATGTTTACCTGGATTTACTGATAAAAATCTAATGTTTCCAAACCTAGTTATAGGGTATTCTGATGTAGATCTCAGTCTCTCCTGTTGAAGCAGTTCCACATTGTATAAATAATGAGAGTCCTTGGAGCAGGGGGACTGGATCCTAGGTTGCCTACATCCTGGATGAGTGCTGTAATCACTACGTTAGAGTCACTCTCATGCATGTGCTCTCTCTTGTTCTCTCTGTCCCAATGACTAAGTATTTACATAAAGCTACAACAGGTGAGATTGAGAGCTCCACATCAGAATATCCCATAACGCAGTAGTTAAGAGTACTTATCTGAGAGATGGGAAGACAGACCCCTGTTCAAATCCTCTCTCCCACTCAGGCAAAGGGGGAATTTGAACCTGTGGTCTCCCACATCCCAAGTGATTATCCTAACCACTAAGCTAAAGGTTATAAAGGGTGATGGTGGTTTTCCTCATTAAACCATCACTGAGAATCTGAAACATCAATAGGCACTTCCCTCCAGCCTGGATTTAGGCACTGAACTCCTGAGTGGGTTAGTGCTGAGAACACACCCTTCTCCTGGACATCTCCCAGTGACGAGCTGAGGCAGGGAGCTGCCTAGCATGCTGGCTTTTGTGAATCCCATTCTTAGGCACCTATCTCCCTCCTCTCAGTGTATAGAAAGCCTGAACATTTAAGGTTTGTGATTCCCAGTGATTTTCTCAATGCCTAAAAGTTAGACATTGCAAACACTTAAGTCCCTTTGTGAATCTAGCCATAAGTGTCAAGATTTTCATGGGACACACTATATATTCAGTTCATGAATATTTTACACTGTAGAGGATTCTCTAATTAAAATAATGTTGTATACTGTTTAACATTTCAATATCCCAGTGACTTCAATAAGAACAGGAATGGATCCTAGATTGGTCAACCCTGGTTACTCATGCGTACTTCACAATGAGTTAGGTTTATTTTTTTATTTTTGCTTTTCAAAGACTTTTCAATTTAGGCTCAGCTATGACTCTCACCGTTTTCTTCTTTGGTGATGGATAACAGAAATATTGTCATTTGTCAGCCTATCAATTCTTAAACTACTGTGGCCTGGGAGTTGTACAGAGAATGCAGGGACTATAACAGGAAAACTGTACTGTTCATCATGGTTAGCGTAGAATTACTCTCACACTCCCTAAAGGTAAGAAGCAAGGATAATAATTTATTACTGAGGCCCATATGATACTGATTTTTAAGCAGGCAAATCATTTTTTTTTTATTTAGAACAAGGCAAAACTCATTCCTACCTATCTTTTCTCCTAATAAAATCTCTGATTGTTTAAAAATGAATTATAAAATCAATGACCATTCAAAATAATCATATTATTTGAATTATTATTACAATAGTTTTAAATATCTACTGAATGGCAGTATTTGATCTGTTTACATTTAAGATGGCAGTATAAATAAGTAAAAGCATAGTTTCAAATACTTAGAATCAACTACTTAATCTTTGGGAATTTTGAGCCAAAACATTGAAAATTCTTCCCCTGTCCCCATGTGTCTCTGTGCCCCAACTCAGCCAACTCCTCTCCCTATGTGGCCCTGCACCTCCCTCCCCCATGGCCCTGTGCCTCCACTCCCATTCAGCCCCTGCCCCAGTAGCCCTAATGAGTTCCTGTCTGATTCCCCAGCATCCCCACACTGTCTATCTCCCCGTAGCCCATTTCCTGACCTGGCCCGATGGGCACTGGGAAAGAGGCAGGTGCTCTCTCACTTCCCTAGCGCCCTCTGGTGGGTAAAAGGTGGAACTGCAACAAACTTTCCAGCAGAAGCTTTTTTATGTTCAAAAAAATTAAATATGCATGGCTCATTCATTATGCACATGCACAATGGCGCAGCATTTACCCAGGAGTAAACTGCCATATTTTAGGTTATTGTTTTTTTCCTTAATATATCAGACAGAGCCTGATCCAATGCCCACTGAAGTCACAAAGAGTCTGCCAACATAAGTAGACATTGGATAAGGCACTTCAAGGATTTTCCATTTTGTTTGGCACTCCATTGCAACCCTTCCTCCCTTTCAGGCAAATGCAAAGTTTGTTTTCAATTTCTTCATTCTGAAATCATGATATTTGCTACTAAATCCAGAAAGTTACAGTGAGATATAATAATACAGTAATTTGAAAGTCATCCTTTTGACTAGCTCTCCTTTCAAGCAGCATAAGGACACTGTGGTTGTCCTCCAATTGCCTCCTCACCAGCAATGCATTCAATTTTAAGCAGACAAGTACACCCATTGGATGGAACGACACATGTTAAAAGTTAAGCATGTGCTTGAGTACCTTGGGGTGGAATTTTCAGAAGAACTGCAGGCTTCAATGGGAGTAGAGCTAGGACAGTGCTGAGTGCTTTTCAAAATCCCACCCTTGCTAAATAGGATTAGTTATGTGTTTAAAGTTGTTTAAGTGCTTTGTTGAAATTGAGCCTTGTTTATTTAGCTGCTGTAATGTGAC